AATGATTTTAACCTGTAGTGGCTAATCTGATAATCAGCATCTCCTTCCTTTTGCTCAATGGGTTTAACTGACATAATATCTAATCTGAGAAGCAGTATTCCCTTCCTGATTCATGGGTTTAACTGGTAGTAATTAATCGGAAAACCAGCATCCTCTGCTGTGTTGCTCATTGTTAAACTATTATTGGGGTTGAAAAACGTTACGTAAACGTTTTTAGACAGTACTCCTTTAGAGCATCGTTTGGATTATTATAATTTGTAGCAATTTCTTATTCTTCACAAGCTGTCTCTGGAGGTGCTATCGTGTCTGTGTTTGAAATATCTTGAATTACAGATTATATAGTGACATTTTATTTCACAAAATATGAATAATACAGAAAAATGTAACATTGCCCATTTGAAAAGAAATTAATCATTGTAATTCTTTCATTAACTTTGAAAACTTCAAACAAATGCGCCCCACAGTGGCACAGCGATATGTCTGCGGACTTATATCGCTAGAAACCGGGTTTCAATACCCGTGGTGGTTAGAGCACTGATAGCCCTTTTTGTAGCTTTGTGCTTAATAACAACAACATCAAACAAATTCTGTGAATTTATCATGTCTACGTCATGAAGTCACAATAATAGTTCTCATTTCTATAACTCTTGAAGTGTTTTATGTGTTTTAGTAACACATGATGTAGAGTTGAGATTATGAGTATCATAAATAAAGAGGTTTTTGTTTTATATTTAAAAACATTTTTTTTTCCAGAAAACTAGAAGAATTTCCATAACAGCATATTAATAATTTATTTTTTTCCAAATGAGAATATCTCATGATTTAAGAGAAACTGTAGAATACTACAAAGAGAAATACCAGTAGATGAGACTATTTGTTTATCATTAAGGACAATAAACCAATATCATTTACATATTCCTGTTTAAAAAAAAACCTCAGGTGTGCTAATTGTTATAGTCATAAACAGAAATATACTTTATTATGAAAACAGGTTTTTATTGTTTTTGTAAATCGATATTATTCTAGATGTATGTTTTTTTTCATTCACACTGGGCAGTCAACACTGAATTACTCTTCGAACTTGAAGCTAGAGGGCGTATCAGCATTGAAATGAAAGATGGCTGTCGAATGTATACAACATGGCTATATAGAGAGTAATTTCGGTTTCTAAACTGAGCCTAAGTTGTAGGAATGTCAGGTAGAACTTACTTTGACGTTTTTATACTTCTTGGATATTTTCTTGAATTTATTCTGATCTACAGATGTTGATGACGTTTCAACTGGGTTTGATGGTCACGTAATGCATCTATAGAAGACTGATATTTAAAATATTCTTACCACATAGCAGCTGAAAGCCTACAAACTCGTGGTTACCGGATCATCTTGTATGTGACAAATCTGCTTAGGCAGAAAATTATGAGCCCAAGAAATAATCATGGAAGTATGAGGCAAATTCCAACTTTTTTTGGGGGGGGGGGGTCTCCTTTGCAACCACCATTTGAAGAAGAAAATTCTCAAGCAGAAAAGGGCAAGTCAGCTTTTTGTTTCACTTTAAAAGATTTTCAATTATCATATTAATCCCCAGTCTTTTGTTCATTTAAAAAGTGATTTCATGTGTTGTATTTTCACAGAGAAAATCGATTCCTTATCGATTCAGAAGAAAAATTTCATTTCAAGGAGAGGAAGAGTATATGAATACCGTCTTTCAAGAAGCTTCAAGCAATGCCATCAATGTCTCATTTATATTGTCCATCACAACCGTCATCCTCCATTCAAGCATTGTTTATTTTATTTTAGATTTTTATAACAGCTGTAAAAATATTTTCAGATGTAGCTTTTTACCATATACAGATTGGTTGTTACACTGACATGGCAGTCTTATTTGAATGACTAATAAAAAAAATAATTCCTACACTCTAGCAAATCGAAAAAAAGTTTTATTAAGTAGGTAGTAAAGTCAAGGGATATAGAATTATTCAGTAAGTAAACATTTTAAATCGATAAGTTTATTAACCTTATTAATGTAGTAGTATAATCTTCGCCCCCCAGTAGCACAGCGGTATGTCTGCGGACTTACAACGCTAGAATCCGGGTTTCGATACCCGTGGTGGGCAGAGCACAGATAGCCCATTGTGTAGCTTTGTGCTTAACTTCAAAAAACAACAACAACAAAAAAACAAGTATAATCTTCAAATACCCACCACTTTACAATAGTATATATATATATTAATGTCTGAGGTTTTTACCTTGTGCTTTATTTAGTACATAATTAGATCTATTATTTTGTATGATTAATGTTTACGAAATAACGTCTCTCAATTTTTCCTTTGCCACAGTTGTTATACTTTTGAAAGTAATTTCCATAGTTCTTGTTATCTTAAACGTAGTGTTTTGTGATTCTAACCTTTTTTTTGATGACTGTGTGATGTAGAAAGCCACATTGTATGCTAATTGATATACTAAGTAATGCCGTACGATAATAAACATCACGAATTTACTTTACTGTGTGTGTGGTTCAATTAATTTCAAGACCTTAGTTTTGCAATAAAACATTGAAGATACTGGCTATAGAAACTAATCTATAAAATTACAATGACTATTGGGTAAAAAAAAGAGATTACTACAACATATTATTGTTTAGTGTGTAACAAAATAGATTAGTACGATGTATTCTTATTCAGTGTGTAACAACATAGATTACTACGGTGTATTCATATTCAGTGTGTAATAAAATAGATTACTACAATGTATTCTAATTCAATGTGTAACAAAATATATTAGTACGATGTGTTACTGTCCCATATGTGATAAACGAGGTTACTACGATGCATTACTGTTCAGTATGTAACGAATAAGGTTACTACGATGCATTACTGTTCAGTATTGACGAATAATGCATCGTAGTAACCCTATTCGTCACATACTGAACAATAATGCATCGTAGTAACCTTGTTGTTCAGTATGTAATGAATAGGGTTACTACGATGCATTATTGTTCAGTATGTGACGAATAAGGCTACTATGATATATTACTGGCCACTATCTACAAGAGAATATTGTAAAAATATATAGAGCGAGTTTAGCAGCATCAACAAATATTATTATTATGCACCGTCTTTGGGAAGATAAAAATATACAATTTCTATATTCAGGGTGATGTGTGAAAGGTATTTAGAAAACTATCAACAAGATATTTGAATACTGTTCAAAGGTCATTACAGGAGATACACGTTGAGAGGGATATGGAAATATTATACAGAGAGTATATACAAGAGAATTGTATAGAAGAAACGTAGAACTCCATAGAAAATTATTCAGGTATAAAATGTTGCATGAAAATAAATACTGATCGGAGCTTTTAGAATTATTTTGTAAGTTACAGATGTATACATTTTTACATACAGTGGTTATGTCGTATATATGATGGCATAATTTAATACTAACATTTGTTCGAGATACATTTGAGGTAGTAATTGTAGTATTTCTTTGTTAACGTTTGAAGGTGAAGCTTAAAAGCTTCTTTTATTCTGTTTAGCCTTCTTTTAGTATATTTAAAATTCTGTAAATGTATTATATATTATCAGATAAGTATCAAAATTTTAAAGTTCTTTGGTAAAATAACCAATATCTTGATTTACATAATTACACAAATGTCTTTACAAACTATTTTTTTTTTATAATAAGCCATCATAATAATAATCCCTGTAGACTCCCACTGGAGCATAGGGCCCCAACAACACCTCGCTGACGGAAGTTGTTGTTGCAGTAATTTTTTAGCAGGTTGGTTTTTACGGGGCGAAGTTGCTAGCCCACCCTCCTACTTTCTCATCCTGGACTTGGGACCAGGCAATGATGGTGGCATCCCTGCCGGGGAACGAACCCAGTACCTTTGGATTAGAAATCCAACACGCTATCCACTGCGCTATAGGGACACAATAAGCCATCATAGCCCAACGGATTAGTCAACTAGGTCTCTTTGGAGGTAGATGTCATGAAACAGACGACTTTCATTCCACACCTTAATTTCCAGACAACAACGCTATTGTTGACTATATATCATAGCCACACAGAATGACACAATTTTTTGCATTATACTTTGGTGCTTTCAACGAGTGGTAAAAGTGATTTCTCTGTTGCTTAACTTGTGTAGTACAGCCATGTTCTCAAGGACTAACCGCTCTTCTGTAAGCTAAGTTCAAACTTTTTATTGTCCCAGTATTAAACTAGTATTAAGTATGGAACTACGATGAATCTTTTTAGTATAGTGCTTGAAATAATACTAGCATTACGTACGGAGCTACAATGAACCTTTTTAATATAGTGTTTGAAACAGTACTAGCATTACGAACGGAACTACTATGAACCATTTTAGTATATTGTTTGAAATAATACTAGCATTAAGTATGTAACTACAATTAACCTTTTTAAGTATATTGTTTGAAGCAATACATTTTAATTTTCCACAGAACATGTGTAATAAAAGATTACAATTAGAAATAAGTAAAACGACCGTGAACTCCAGAGAATCTTTCTAGTTATATATGCTCAATGTTTCAGCTTTACACCTTTACCAGGAACATACAATTTGTCTAATTCATTCAAATAACGACCGTTGTATATCATCCATGTGATCATTCCTCTTATTACTAGGCCTGTCGCACACGTATTGTTTACATATTGTCTTATATTACATTGTATACCTATATGCAACAGGCGTTGTAATAATAAGAATGATCACGTGCATGATATGCTTTTTGTGCGCGGTTCAATGCTTAGAATACATAGGTCTTAAATTGAGCGATAGAGTTCTTTACAGAAAATATATGCTCCTGATGAAGACGTAAAGCCGAAACACTGGGCAAATAAAACAACTTGAAAGATTCTCTGGAGTTCACGTTCGTTTTCTTTTTCCATAATTATATGTATTATGCTTCAATCAGCACAACGTAAATTAAGATATATAACAATATTACAATTATGAAAACAGATACATTGTAATATTATTTTCAATACGGAGATTTTATTATTTCCGTAGCAACATTGTTTGTAGCAACAATATATATATATATATATATATATGTTTGTCAAAGAGATTTGTCACCCATAAGACAAGAATAATAACTACTATACAGCGAATTCGTTAAATTATTAATTTCAGATTTTGGGAGGTAGAAATTTAAATTTTTAATTAATAATAGAACTATGAAATAAAGTCCAAAAACTAACAGCGTTATCGAATTGTTCTAAATCTATACAATCGATCAGTGGGGAATTGATAGGTTTTATTGATTTATCAGCTATATCACAAACGATATATGACAGTCAGAATAAAATACAGATCAGGTGAAATAGCTCAGTTAACCTTAAGTCAAAACGGCTAATATGTGTTTTTCTTCTTATGACGATATAGCATCAGTCCACTCCTGAAAAACAAACGAAAAAACATATGAAGTATATATATTCAGGTGTACTGCTTTTGTTAAGTCGATTTTTATGCAACAACTGCTTATTTCAACATTAATAAGTAACAAAGACCTGATGTTACTGAAGCATCATACAAATGTATAGGAGCCGGGCGTGGCCAAGTAGTTAGCATGTCGGGCTATGAATTCGAAGCTCAATGGTTTGCGTCCCTTTACCAGAAAAAAAAAAATGTCATGCTCAACACTTTGGGGCAGTGGAAGTGTTATATTTGTTTGTTTGTTTATAATTAGGCACAAAGCTACACAATGGGCTCTCTGTGCTTTGCCCACCACGGTTATCGAAACCCGGATTCTAGCATTGAAAGTCCTCAGACATACCGCTGTGCCACTGGGGGCTGAAAGTGCTATAAGAGCGATAATAAAATCCTACTATTCGCTTAGAGTAGCCCAAGAGTTGGCGGCGGATTTCGTTCACAAGATGCCTTTTCTTTAATCTATCAGTTTAAAATTATGGACGGCTAATGGTATCTGACAACTGAAATGGCGAAGTACGATCTCTGCTTAATTTTTAATAAATATGATATTGCATCATAATAAAAACTATTAATAATTCTATTCTTTACAGTTCATATGCGGTTATTCCAATAGCAATAATATATAAAAGCAATTCAACTACATTTTGTTTGAAACTTGTTGCCGCCAATGAGATGATGCACTTAAAACTAGAGCTCACCAGGAAAACGTGTACAAAATCCTAGCTGACACGACTACTGGTGCCAATTGTTTCTATAGACTTTTCATGAAGTTGAATAATAGTTTTGTTCATTTCTCAGGATTTATTTTGCATTTAACCCTTTAAGTGTAACTTTTGTATTCTTAAATGAAAAACGATATAAATACGAAAAAATGACCTAAGATAAATCCAAAGGACTGGAGCGACATGTTAAAAATACGTTTATGTGACATATGGGTCCCACGAGTCCTGCACAAACATACGTTTGGACAAATATAACCTGGCCCGGCATGGCCAGGTGATTAGGACACTCGACTCGCAATCTGTAGGGTCGCGGGTTCAATCCCAGTC